CACTCACACCCCTGTACACACACACACCTGTACACACACACACACACACCTGTACACGAGCACACACACCCCTGTACACACACACATACATCCCTGTACACACACACATACATCCCTGTACACACACATGCACCCCTGTACATCCACATACATCCCTGTACACACACATACACCCCTGTACACACACATACACCCCTGTACACACACATACACCCTGGCACACACACACATATACACTTTCACACACACACACACACACTCACACTCACACACACATACACCCCTGTACACACACATAGACCCTGGCACACACACACTGACATAAATCCCTGTACACACACATACACATACATCCCTGTACACACACACATACCCTTACACACACACACACACATATATCCCTGTACACACACACATACCCTTACACACACATACATCCTGGTACACACACACATACATATACACCCCTGTACACACACATACACCCTTGCACACAGACACACACACATACATCCCTGTACACACACATACACCCCTGTACACACAAATACACACACCCCTGTACACACAAATACACACACCCCTGTACACACACATACACACACCCCTGTACACACACATACACCCCTGTACACACACACATACACCCCTGTACACACACACATACACCCCTGTACACACACATACACCCCTGTACACATACGCACACCCCTGTACACACACATACACCCCTGTGCACACACATACACCACTGTACGCACACACACACACACACACACACACACACACACACACACACACACACACACCTCTACACACACATACACCCCTGCACACACACACACACACACACACACACACACACACACACACACACACACACACACACACACACACACACACACACACACACACACACACCCCTGTACACACATACACCCCTGTACACACACATACATCCTGGCACACACAAACACATATATATACCCCTGTACACACACACACACACATAGATCCCTGTACACACACATACACCCCTGTACACACACATACACCCCTGTACACACACATACACCCTTGCACACACACACCCACATACATCCCTGTACACACACATACACCCCTGTACACACACATACACCCCTGTACACACACATACACCCTTGCACACACACACATACACCCCTGTACACACACATACACCCTCGCACACATACATCCTGGCACACACAAACACATATATATACCCCTGTACACACACACACACACATAGATCCCTGTACACACACATACACCCCTGTACACACATACACCCCTGTACACACACATACATCCCTGTACACACACATACACCCCTGTACACACACATACACACCTGTACACATACACACCTGTACACACACATACACCCCTGTACACACATACACCCCTGTACACACACATACACCCCTGTACACACACATAAACCCCTGTACACACACATAAACCCCTGTACAGACACATACACCCCTGTACACACACATAGACCCCTGTACAGACACATACACCCCTGTACACACACATACACCCCCGTACACACATATAAACCCCTGTACACACACATACACCCCTGTACACACACATAGACCCCTGTACACACACATACACCCCTGTACACACACATACGCCCCTGTACACATACACACCTGTACACACACATACACCCCTGTACACACATACACCCCTGTAAAGACACATACACCCCTGTACACACATACACCCCTGTACACACACATACACCCCTGTACACACACATACACCCCTGTACACACACATAGACCCCTGTACACACACATACACCCCTGTACACACACATACACCCCTCTACACACACGTACACACATACACCCCTGTACACACACATACACCCCCCTGTACACACAAATACACTCCTGTACACACATATACACACACCCCTGTATGCACACAAACACCCCTGTACACACATACATCCCTGTACACACACACATACATCCCTGTACACACACATTCCCCCCTGTACACACACATACACCCCCCTGTACACACATATACACTCCTGTACACACATATACACACACCCCTGTATGCACACAAACACCCCTGTACACACATACATCCCTGTACACACACATTCCCCCCTGTACACACACATTCCCCGCTGTACACATACACACACCCCTGTACACACACACACCCCTGTACACACACATAAAACCCTCTACACACACATACACCCCTGTACACACACATACACCCCTGTACACAAACACCCTTGTACACACACACCCCCCTGTACACACTCACACACATACACCCCTGTACACACACATACACCCCTGTACACACACATACACCCCTGTACACACACATACACACCTGTACACACACATACACACCTGTACACACACGTACACACACATATACACCTGTACACACATATACACCTGTACACACACATACACCCCAGTACACACATACACCCCAGTACACACATACACCCCTGTACACACACCACCTTTACACACACATACACCCCTGTACACACATACACCCCTGTACACACACATACATCCCTGTACACACACATACACCCCTGTACACACACATACACACCTGTACACATACACACCTGTACACACACATACACCCCTGTACACACATACACCCCTGTACACACACATACACCCCTGTACACACACATACACCCCTGTACACACACATAAACCCCTGTACAGACACATACACCCCTGTACACACACATAGACCCCTGTACAGACACATACACCCCTGTACACACACATACACCCCCGTACACACATATAAACCCCTGTACACACACATACACCCCTGTACACACACATAGACCCCTGTACACACACATACACCCCTGTACACACACATACGCCCCTGTACACATACACACCTGTACACACACATACACCCCTGTACACACATACACCCCTGTAAAGACACATACACCCCTGTACACACATACACCCCTGTACACACACATACACCCCTGTACACACACATACACCCCTGTACACACACATACACCCCTGTACACACACATACACCCCTCTACACACACGTACACACATACACCCCTGTACACACACATACACCCCCCTGTACACACAAATACACTCCTGTACACACATATACACACACCCCTGTATGCACACAAACACCCCTGTACACACATACATCCCTGTACACACACACATACATCCCTGTACACACACATTCCCCCCTGTACACACACATACACCCCCCTGTACACACACATACACTCCTGTACACACATATACACACACCCCTGTATGCACACAAACACCCCTGTACACACATACATCCCTGTACACACACATTCCCCCCTGTACACACACATTCCCCGCTGTACACATACACACACCCCTGTACACACACACACCCCTGTACACACACATAAAACCCTCTACACACACATACACCCCTGTACACACACATACACCCCTGTACACAAACACCCTTGTACACACACACCCTCCTGTACACACTCACACCCCTGTACACACACACACCTGTACACACACACACACACACCTGTACACGAGCACACACACCCCTGTACACACACACATACATCCCTGTACACACACACATACATCCCTGTACACACACATGCACCCCTGTACATCCACATACATCCCTGTACACACACATACACCCCTGTACACACACATACACCCCTGTACACACACATACACCCTGGCACACACACACATATACACTTTCACACACACACACACACACTCACACTCACACACACATACACCCCTGTACACACACATAGACCCTGGCACACACACACTGACATAAATCCCTGTACACACACATACACATACATCCCTGTACACACACACATACCCTTACACACACACACACACATATATCCCTGTACACACACACATACCCTTACACACACATACATCCTGGTACACACACACATACATATACACCCCTGTACACACACATACACCCTTGCACACAGACACACACACATACATCCCTGTACACACACATACACCCCTGTACACACAAATACACACACCCCTGTACACACAAATACACACACCCCTGTACACACACATACACACACCCCTGTACACACACATACACCCCTGTACACACACACATACACCCCTGTACACACACACATACACCCCTGTACACACACATACACCCCTGTACACATACGCACACCCCTGTACACACACATACACCCCTGTGCACACACATACACCACTGTACGCACACACACACACACACACACACACACACACACACACACACACACACACCTCTACACACACATACACCCCTGCACACACACACACACACACACACACACACACACACACACACACACACACACACACACACACACACACACACACACCCTGTACACACATACACCCCTGTACACACACATACATCCTGGCACACACAAACACATATATATACCCCTGTACACACACACACACACATAGATCCCTGTACACACACATACACCCCTGTACACACACATACACCCCTGTACACACACATACACCCTTGCACACACACACCCACATACATCCCTGTACACACACATACACCCCTGTACACACACATACACCCCTGTACACACACATACACCCTTGCACACACACACATACACCCCTGTACACACACATACACCCTCGCACACATACACCCTTGCACACACACACATACACCCTTGCACACACCCTTGCGCACGCACACACACACAGACACACAGACACACACACACACACACGCATCCCTGTATATACACCCTCATATAGCTGGAATATTAATGAGTGGAGTGTTAAACAACAAACAAACAAACACATACACCCCCTTTTCATAAACATGCACTGAATACACATACATGCAGTTAACATACTGTCTGTATAAGATGTTTTGTGTTTCAGATAGAGCTTGTGAGGAATAAGTTACTGGAGAACAGGAAGATAGCAGCAGCTACCCACAACATCGTGGCCTACAGGTGTGTACAGGAGTCTCGGGGACAGGAGCGCACAAGTTGACAGTGTTTATTTGTTTATTTGTTCATTTGTATTTGTTTATTGATCTTGACACTGTTTTTAAGATGGACTTTATTAGCAATGATTGAAAACTTACTTCATTATTTCCACCTTCCTAAGAAGTAAAAACCTCACTCCCCTACCCAGAGTTCCATGCAGCCATAGTACCGTATATCGCCATTTATAAAGCGACCCCACGTATAAGACAACCCCGCTGTACAAGCCTTTAAAATCGATGCACACAGGATTATGTTGAAAACTGATTAGCAACTAGGGCTGGGATGGGTAACTCGGGTACTCGGGCCGGGTGGGTCCTGAGTAGGACCCGGGTACCCACAGTACTACTCAGACCTGTGGTTAGTCGCCTGATATATTTAATGACAAACACTGAGCATAGCTCAGTGGTTACACTACAAGTCGCTAATGTTCGCATTTCTTTCTGACAATGCATACATTCCTTTAGCATATGTTTGAATAAAGATAAAGCTTCAGTCAACTTCAGTGTACACATGATCTGATCATTTGATACATGAATCTAAATTGTTTTTGCCAGGGCTGCAGTAAAACAATTCCAATCGGACATTTTGTTCCCAACTCCTTGAGTCCTACAGTGGGTAGCGTCGGGTAATAGGGGGTCCGGGAGTAAATCTGGACTTGTCCCAGCCCTATTAGCAACACAGTTCATCATAGTTGACTCGGAACCCCCGGCCACCCCTTGTACAAGTGATGTGGGTAGAATCCCAGTTCACCTCGATTATGTTTCTAGGTTTGTCAGCACCATACCCGTCGTCGTAATCCACCTACACCTGTCTCATGTTGCGGTCGTCAGATTTGTATGCTAGTAATTTCTGACAGTCCGGGACTTCAATAAGAAGTCAGGAGAATACTCCAGGACACCAGGTGCCTGTTCAGTGAGTGTTGTCTGATTACTTCACTCGTATTTCAGGATCCGAGTCCCCAACTCGGACATCATGTACCAGAGCTGTGAGGACGACGGAGAGTTCGGAGCTGGACAGAGAATGCTGCATCTCCTCAATGTAAGGGCAGCGAGGCATGTAACAGAGAACTGTTTCAGCTGGGGATGTTATAGGTGTAGGATAAAGCCCGTCCGAGGGTTTTTAGGATATTTTAGGTTTACCGGTATATGAGGTTTTATTCCAAGGACAAGGGTTTTAAATATCATAAAAACCCAAGGAGAAGTGTTTTATCCAACAAAAGAAACTTAAGACAACGTTTATCAACATTTTTATATTTCAAACATGCTTTCCATGAACATTAGGAATCGGGCGTACAATATTTGTTGCAGGCATATGGTGCTTGAAAAAGACATGGTTCAAGCATTGTGATTTATCAGTATATCTGTAGCCTAGTGGTACACTCACTGAGATAAATTATTTAAAATATTATATAAAATGCCGGGATATTTTCACATCCCTGTTTATGAGATTTATTCCCACTGGAGAACAATAGGATGACATCACTATAGGTTTATAAATCTGAGGAGAGAGAGCCAGGTGGACAGTTTATTCAGTAAAAGTTTTCCAAACCAAATTACTTACAACGGCATATGCTATTCAAGCACATATAATATGTATCAAGTATGGTAGAGGTAGCGTTTGGCATAAATAGAGAGCTGAGAGAAATTAAAACCTTTTTTTTAATAGTTCCATGTAATGTTGACAGTTATTGTTAGCCTCAAGAAGATCAAAGGATGGACGTATATTTTGCAAGTTCCAACAATGAAATTTTGTAGTGTACAGGTTATGATCATCTCACCTCCAGAATGTTGAGATCTGATTGGCGCACATGATCTTGATAAAATACTGTGTACCCCGTCTGGGAGGGCTATATCTTGAATGAGGTGATTGTTAATATAGTGACGCCTCTTCCTCTAGATTCTGAATGCGGAGAACGTGATGGTGGTGGTGACTCGGTGGTACGGTGGCATCCATCTCGGCCCGGACAGATTCAAGCACATCAATAACCTCTCCAGGGGGATCCTGCTGGAGCACGGCTACGTGAAGGAGAAGGTGAGGGGAGGAGGGGTGGGGGAGGAGTTGTATTCATTTGATACTTATACCCTGGGCTCATCCATTAGTGCCCTAGGATGTGCAGCAATGGCATTGCACATGTATCAACTGACTGAAGGGTGGCGCACACTGTCACAAACTATGTGCAAAGTAAACCTTATTTACCTTAGTGAATCTTTACTTCATCACCTGCCCTGGTGTCTCTGTGAATCTTTACCTCATCACCTGCCCTGGTGTCTCAGTGAATCTTTACTTCATCACCTGTCCTGGTGTCTCAGTGAATCTTTACTTCATCACCTGCCCTGGTGTCTCGGTGAACATTTACTTCATCACTTGCCCCGATGTCTCAGTGAAACTTTACCTCATCACCTGCCCCGGTGTCTCAGTGAATCTTTACTTCATCACCTGCCCTGGTGTCTCGGTGAACATTTACTTCGTCACCTGCCCTGGTGTCCCAGTGAATCTTTACCTCATCACCTGCCCCGGTGTGTCAGTGAATCTTTACCTCATCACCTGCACTGGTGTCTCAGTGAATCTTTACTTCATCACCTATTTTGGTGTCTCGGTGAATCTTTACTTCATCACCTGCCCTGGTGTCTCGTTGAATCTTTACCTCATCACCTGCCCGGTGTGTCAGTGAATCTTTACCTCATCACCTGCCCGGTGTGTCAGTGAATCTTTACTTCATCACCTGCCCTGGTGTCTCGGTGAACATTTACTTCGTCACCTGCCCTGGTGTCCCAGTGAATCTTTACCTCATCACCTGCCCCGGTGTCTCAGTGAATCTTTACTTCATCACCTGTTCTGGTGTCTCGGTGAATCTTTACTTCATCACCTGGCCTGGTGTCTCGTTGAATCTTTCCCTCATCACCTGCCCCGGTGTGTCAGTGAATCTTTACCTCATCACCTGCACTGGTGTCTCAGTGAATCTTTACTTCATCACCTATTTTGGTGTCTCGGTGAATCTTTACTTCATCACCTGCCCTGGTGTCTCGTTGAATCTTTACCTCATCACCTGCCCGGTGTGTCAGTGAATCTTTACCTCATCACCTGCACTGGTGTCTCAGTGAATCTTTACTTCATCACCTGCCCTGGTGTCTCAGTAAATCTTTATTTCATCACCTGCCCTGGTGTCTCAGTGAATCTTTACTTCATGACCTGCCCTGGTGTCTCAGTGAATCTTTACCTCATCACCTGCCTTGTCACTCAGTGAATCTTTACTTGATCACCTGCCCTGGTAACTAAGTTAATCTTTACCTCATCACCTGCCCTGGTGTCTCAGTGAATCTTTACTTCATCACCTGCCCTGGTGTCTCGCTGAACATTTACTTCATCACCTGTCCTGGTGTCTCTGTGAACCTTTACTTCATCACCTGCCCTGGTGTCTCAGTGAATCTTTACTTCATCACCTGCCCTGGTGTCCCAGTGAATCTTTACTTCATCACCTGCCCTGGTGGCTCAGTGAATCTTTACTTCATCACCTGCCCTGGTGTCTCAGTGAACCTTTACTTCATCACCTGCCCTGGTGTCTCAGTGAACCTTTACTTCATCACCTGCCCTGGTGTGTCAGTGAATCTTTACTTCATCACCTGCCCTGGTGTGTCAGTGAATCTTTACTTCATCACCTGCCCCGGTGCCTCAGTGAATCTTTACTTCATCACCTGCCCTGGTGTCTCAGTGAATCTTTACTTCATCACCTGCCCTGGTGTCTCGGTGAATCTTTACTTCATCACCTGCCCTGGTGTCTCGGTGAATCTTTACTTCATCACATGCCCTGGTGTCTGAGTGGGAACACTGGGTGACATTACTTAACAAGATATATGGTTGCAAGTTCAGATCACATCATGGAATTGTCATGTAAAAAAATCCTGACTTTTTAACCAGTCAAAAATCAAAATTAGATGCAAATTAAATTATAAGTTTCAAAAGTAAAAACTCAAAGCAGGTCTTGCTTACACTGGTGATGTCTCCCACACTTTGCAGGAGGGCTCGGACGAGTCCAAATTTACAACTCGGGTACCCACCCCCTATTACCGGACCCTTCCCAGGTACCCGCTGTAGGTCTCAAGATTGGGAAAAGTTTGACTGTAGCTCTGGTACCCGAGTTACCCGTCCCAGCCCTACTTTGCAGCAGAGTAAACATGAACACAGCCTGTCCCCACACAACCTGCGTCATGTGCTTCATGTGAATCTATTCCTTGGGTTCCAGGAGGACAAGAAAGGCCCCCGGACGAGCAAGAAAAGGTGACACTCCACAAGATGGCCGTCTGTCTTGGTGAAGATCCTAACTATTGTACAGGATTTTTTTTAAGACTATTTGTGCAAGAGCTGTCCATATTTAAGGCTTCATTCCCCACTGAAGCATGTGATATTTTATGAAACATTTGTAAATAATAAATGGATGTGTCAAAAGCATGCTCATCATTTCCAAACATGAACCTTATTGTTTCAGTGAGAACTTCATTATCACAATGTGTCCTTTGGTTCTGCTGTATTCAGTCATTCTCGTGTGTTATACCCAATTCCCATCGATTCTCGTGGTAAATATACGTCTTCTTCATTTCATAGAGGGCATGTATATTGTTATACTAGCATTCAGATTTGGAAATGCTGTGAGAACTTTTGACACATCCCCCTAGTGAAGGATCTGAACATCAAACATGTTTTATTTGATAGGATAGGACAAAGTTTGAAACATAAGATTGAAATATTAATATCAATAAGTTTTTAATATAATATTAAGTAGGATGGATGATGTAGTTCTTTTAAGGTATTAGTATTCTTTTAATATGTATATAGATTGATTCTTGTTTATCGGAATATTTGTTTTAATTTATCTTTTAATGCATATGAGCTGGTTTCACCTGTGCAACAAGAAACACTATTTACAGTATCATGTCTCGTATCTACATGTTCATGGTTCTTTTGGTTGTCGGCAATTTGAAATTATTTCCTATATACTTGTGATAATGTACTTAAAAGTTAAACTATCATGTCCTTCTTGTGAAAGTGTGATACTAGATGAAGGTTGCCACTCTTCAACCTTCAAGATTCCATCCTTCATTGACGCAAGTTTTACAGCTTGACTATTGACAGAGTTTGATGAAGCTGGTCTGTGTTGTCAGCTGTGTTATCACTTACATGACCTCTCGGCAACTTGTTCTGGTGTCCCCCGCCGTGATATTGCTGGAATATTGCTAAAAGCGGCATAAAACCATACTCACTCACTCTAGGCAACTTGGCCATGTTACCATGGTTACAGGTATTATTTGTACATTTCAGATTTACGGAACAAATATGATACCTGCTTGTGGGTTTCACCAAAGTGTTAAACATCTGAGACAAATCTCATGAACATCAGATCTTTGCTCTTGTTACTCCAAAATGTGATCCTCCTAAATTCTCCCAAATCTTCGTTGCTAACATTTTAAACTGTTGACTACATATCCAGGTGAGCTACAGATCAGGTGAGCTAGAGACATGGCAATCTTTTATCTAAATCGCCACTGTGCCTTTATGTCCTGTACAGAGTATGTGCCTAGGAGTCTTTGTGGATGGGCATGTCACTACTGAAACGAAGCTGTGGCGGCAAATGTGTCTGGGGTGTTATTCATTATAGAATAGAGAGAGATATTATAAGTTGGATAACATTGGATGCCTAACGTAACCATGTGATGTGAAACACAACTTTGATGTTGACATATTTCTGTCTCCGTGTTGCACATCTACAGACACAGTTTCAGATCTGTAGGAAGGGTCCAGAGGAGAATAACTGCTCCATATTTAACAGCTGACATTGTGTTTTTGTTTCCCTTGATAACATCTCTAGCAAGGAGTACCATGGTATGCTATAGTATATGTAGTCGTGCTTCAAGACCATGCTGTACCTGTGTAGTTATGAATTAACATACCTCCTCTCAGTGAGAGTTGAGGCTAAACGCCGGCCTCGTGTAAATGTCCGGACTTAAACAGGTGAATGAAAATAAGCACTGGGGCTGTACATAGTGCCAGATCTCCAATAACCAACTGTCTTTTCCCTGGTATGAAGAAAAGAAGATAATAAATCTGTAACATCGTCACCCTGAAATAATAACACCAGGACTCTACCTCCAGGTCTAGGAGCTAGATGAAATAAAACAATGTTCCTGGTCACACAGAGAAAATGTGGTATTAGTGTTGTTACAACAGAGCCCTCAGCCATTGTGGCTTGGATACCTAATAAGTTGCAAAAGTGATCGTTGTGTTTGCTTGCAGAATTAACATGCTTGGTGTGACGAACAGTGACTGTCCGCAGCAAGATTGGTGGCTATTAACTTTTCAAAAACTTAAAAATAAATTATATTTTTGATAACAGTTTTATTTCTTCTTCTTATTGTGTTTGAGGTGAAGTAACTTTTGAATTCAGTTCATTTCTTGATTATTTACCTTGACTTATAAGAAATGCTTTCGGAAGAGATTTCTTGTGCATATGGAAAGGGTTTCAAGCTTTTGATTAACTGTTTTACTTAACTTCAACAAAGTCCGTTTCTAAACTTACCAGTAATCCAAAACAGAACTTTCAGAACTTTAAAAATATATGCACGGATCAAATATCAGGTCTGTCGACATTTATTAATAACATGTACACATAAAATCAATAAATGTATGACGTCCACCACACATCTTGGTAATCCTGATTACTTCACTATGTTGATGTATTTGAGAGTAACATGGACAGGTCTCGTATCGGAGATGTCTTTAAAACACAGTTGATGTATCGTGTACTGTGAGACATGCATGTGACTGAGATATCCTGAATAGTACATCGTCATCCATAAGGCAACCTGTGGATAATAAGTATCCTGCTGTTTGGGCGTTTATGAATTCCTTCCTAAAGACGACAGCAGCCTGAGAGAGTTCTATACTCATATATATGTCACAAACACACGTTGTCAGTGTTTACATGTGAACACCTTAATTACTCCTTCCCTACTGAGACAAACATACACGTGGCCATGTCCGTCTACACACACACCCTGGGGGTTGTTGATACCGTCCTGTTGTGTCAGTATGTTTCTGACAAACTGTCCTGACTCCGTCAGATGGATGACTCTGTATAGAAGGATGGCTGTCACCAGGATGTCACCTGTGCTGGTACTTGTGATACCCTGGGGAAGCTTCAGTGCTGTGTCTCCTGTAGGGCTGTAGGTGAACACCACATCTCCCTCGGGGGTCAGACACACGACACACTTGGTTCCACAGTCAGACACCAGGATGTTTCCTGTCCTCGTGGTACAGAGGAAGTTGGGATATTGTAAGATGTTGTTACCATTGTGGAGTGGACTGATTGACCTCAGCACGTTTCCCGTCATATCCAGGATATCAACACAGGGAGGAGACCGGGAACTAGCTGCTAGTGTTGATGGTGTCAAGGACGTTATGCCCAAGTACTGTTTGCTGGTTGTGATGGTTGACAGCAGCACCAGGTCAGGGTTGACTTCTACTGTTACAATCTGATAGATGTTCAGGACAGTGACGGCCACCTGGTTGTATGTCAACTTTGTCAGACTCCATGGTTGACCACCCAGACTGAGTTTACTGTGACGTGTCTGGTTATTCCTGGTGTAGAAGGACTTCACACTGTTGTAGTTCCAGTCTGTGACTACAACTGTATCTGTGTCATTCACCACCATCACTGTCACGTCACCCGGGCATGGTGTGTTACTGTCGCCTGCTACTTTGACGTCAGTGGTGTCGTGTAACACAGGAGTAGCCGTCAGGTCCAGCACACTCTCATACAGGACGTCTATCTCACCCAGCTGTAGATCGTCCAGAGATTAACTCAGCTTGTCCGTGTCCTGTCTGAATGTGACCTTGGTTATTCTTCCTCTCGCCTTCACATCTGCGTCTCCGACAGCCTCCACATCACCTGCCTCACATCCCTGATACATCTCATACACATCCATGTCACACTCAGATTGTAGAGCCTGGTCTATCAGCTCCGCCTGTTGTTGGTACATCTGTACTGACATCTCACCTGACTTAATGTCTGCTTTCAGTTGCCCGATGTGTTTATATGAAATGTCTTCCATCTGATCTAACAGCTTCCTCTCCTTCTCCTTGGCCTGATTGATAACTTTCTGGCATGCGGACTGAATGTTCGATTTCATCCGTGAATAATGATCTCTCCCTAATTTCTCTTTCAACTTCTTTTCATTCACACGTAGTTTCATCTCATCTTCCTTCTTTGATAATGCCTTCTTCACTTCTCTCAGCTGTGTTTTCATTGTCGTTATCTGTGACGTGATCGTGACAACGGCGTCACATTTCCTGTGGTAAATGATGCAACATTTCTGACATGCTGCTCTCTTGCAATCCTTACAGAGAAATTCTAGCGACTCCTGTCTGTGCTCTCTGCACATGATCTTGACCTTTCGTCTTCCCTTAGCCTTTACCTCTCCAGACAGGTCAGTGACGTCATGCTGACGAAATGATGGGATGCGGTTGTGAGCTCCAGTACATTTGTCACAGAGTGCCTCATCACAGACCGAGCACCAAACAACAGCCGGAGTTGTCTCCCCATCTTCTTGGCAGTAGGTACAGTAGGTCGTCTCTGTAAACACATTACAGTTGCATAATAACATTTCACCTACTTAAACTATTTACATGTGTTTATATCTCCTTATATCTTTCTAGCAACGGAAACACTATCAGCAACAGGAGATGGACCAATTAAATAAAACCTACTTACTTAAGCATTTGGTATACATTTTATCACTTATGGAAATCTATTTAGTACCCAGTTCGTGTGTGCACTTTAGTAGCTGGTCACTGCAGGAGTGGGTGGGACAGGGTGGGACAGGGCGGGACAGTCGAACGGGACTGCAGGGGTGGGTAGGACAGGATTGGACTGCAGGGTTGGGAGGGACGGGGGAATGGGACTGCAGGGGTGGGAGAGACAGGGCGGGACAGAGCAACGGGACTGCAGGGGTGGGAGGGACAAGACGGGACAGGGGAATGGGACTGCAGGGGTGGGAGGGACAGGGCGGGGAAGTGGAATGGGACTGCAGGGGTGGGGGGGGGGGGGGGGGGGGGTAGCAGGGGAAATGGGGCTACAGGGGTGGGAGAGACAGGGCGGGGCAATCGAACTGCAGGGGTGGGCGGGGCAGGGGAATGGGACTTCAGGGTTGGGAGGGACAGGGCGGGATAGGGGAATGGGACTGCAGGGGTGGGAGGGACAGGGCGGGACATGGGAAAGGGACTGCAGGGGGGGGGGGGGGAAGCGCGGGACAGGGGAATGGAACTGCAAGGTAGGGAGAAACAGGGCGGGAGAGGGGAATTGGACTGCAGGGGTGGGAGGGACAGGGGACTGGGACTGCAGGGGTGTGAGGGATGGGTGTATGAGACTGCAGGGGTGGATGGGACAGGGCGGAACAGGTGTATGGGACTGCAGGGGTGGGTGGGACAGGGTGGAACAGGTGTATGGGACTGCAGGGGTGGGTGGGACAGGGCGGAACAGGTGTATGGGACTGCAGGGGTGGGTGGGACAGGGCGGAACAGGTGTATGGGACTGCAGGGGTGGGAGGGACAGGGCGGAACAGATGTATGGGACTGCAGGGGTGGGTGGGACAGGGCGGAACAGGTGTATGGGACTGCAGGGGTGGGTGGGACAGGGCGGAACAGGTGTATGGGACTGCAGGGGTGGGTGGGACAGGGCGGAACAGGTGTATGGGACTGCAGGGGTGGGAGGGACAGGGCGGAACAGATGTATGGGACTGCAGGGGTGGGAGGGACAGGGCGGAACAGGTGTATGGGACTGCAGGGGTGGGTGGGACAGGGCGGAACAGATGTATGGGACTGCAGGGGTGGGAGGGACAGGGCGGAACAGGTGTATGGGACTGCAGGGGTGGGTGGGACAGGGCGGAACAGATGTATGGGACTGCAGGGGTGGGAAGGACAGGGCGGAACAGATGTATGGGACTGCAGGGGTGGGAGGGACAGGGCGGAACAGATGTATGGGACTGCAGGGGTGGGAGGGACAGGGCGGAACAGATGTATGGGACTGCAGGGGTGGGAGGGACAGGGCGGAACAGATGTATGGGACTGCAGGGGTGGGAGGGACAGGGCGGAACAGATGTATGGGACTGCAGGGGTGGGTGGGACAGGGCGGAACAGGTGTATGGGACTGCAGGGGTGGGAGGGACAGGCGGAACAGGTGTATGGGACTGCAGGGGTGGGAGGGACAGGGCGGAACAGATGTATGGGACTGCAGGGGTGGGAGGGACAGGGCGGAACAGATGTATGGGACTGCAGGGGTGGGAGGGACAGGGCGGAACAGATGTATGGGACTGCAGGGGTGGGAGGGACAGGGCGGAACAGGTGTATGGGACTGCAGGGGTGGCAGGGACAGGGCGGAACAGATGTATGGGACTGCAGGGGTGGGAGGGACAGGGCGGAACAGATGTATGGGACTGCAGGGGTGGGTGGTACAGGGTAAGAGACATCCTATCCTAAATAATCCCATTCTATTCCTCAATTCTAATATCTGCAGTGATTTTATCTGCACAGTGGAAAGACAACAACCATGTGCCTGCATTATGTAAATCTCAACATTATACAAGGCATAAACCACCAAAGGCCAGTGCCGATGATAGCGAGTTAGATACGGTTTGAAATGAATAGAATGCCTGAACTACTTCCAAAAGTGCAAGTCTGTATACAATCACTATTTCAAAGTCTTGTTCATGAGTAATATGATAGATGAAACGATTGTGCAAAAACTCAAGTATGTCAATAGTTCATCGAGTTTGGAGCTTCTTGCACATAGTGTCGATGTATACTCTGGTGTTTAGGGAAAATTAAAAATGTCTGTCGTTAGTAGTTAATCCGCCTGGGAGAAAATCAGCTGTATCTACCTTTATACCCCGGACCAAACGAGTCCAAGAGTCCCTGGATGACAAAGCTAGGTTTGACGTCATCCGCCCACTTCTCCACTGGTCTCTCAGGGGCAGACACTTTCGTCATCTTGTTGCAGAATGGACAGAGGAGGGACTTGGCACTGATGGCTTCTGGTCTGGTCTTGGTGTAGTTGACGACACATTTCCGACAAAAGGTGTGATTACACACAAGTGTACAGGGATTATCGAACACCTCTGTGCATATTGTACAGGTCAGGAAATGTTCCGTAAGCTTCTGAGAGGTTGCCATCTGAAACATGGTAAGGTTCAGGATTTCAACAGTACAACGACAAGAAAATGATACGAAATAATTTCTGGAGCATTGATGAACGATTTGTATTAATTGTGTGTAGAGCAACCCACATTGCCATTGCTACTTTAGTTTTAGAACCATTGAAGCTAACAAAAGATCGTGGGAGTTTGAAAAGGAGTATAACCATTTCTGAGCCAGCGTAGATTTATTCGCGAACTACACGTGCGCACGGTTAATCGAAAAGGGCAACAACGCGACCCGTTCATTTAAACAAGCTTTGGGTTATGACCTTGAGGATGACCTAAACCCTAGGTTTGACATATCAAGTGTACAAGAAACATACTCCCATATGATTAAGAAATGAAAGATATGATATATTTCAGATGTCCATGCACCCAGTGATCAAATTTAAAAAAAACCCTTACACATGGCTGCTTTATCATACACCGGATAGTGTCTATTTCCTAAATGTCAAGAATTGTTCTTAGTTTTCTGAAAAAGGAAACAGTAAAATATAAATACAATAACAACCTGTCTTAGCGAGATGTTAAACAACCACCTAACCATAATTATTCATGAATCTTCGTTTCTATGATAAAATTAAAACAGTAAAGAATTCAACTGAAACATCTCCATTGAAATATGAAGTCTGCAATTGTGTATATAGTAGCTTGGATTTGAGACAATCTCTTGACTCGAAACTGTACTGGGAGCCGAAACACGTTTGAATATCTCCCGCCATATTCTTAGTGGGTCACTGGTCCTCATTACCATAACGAAAGTAGACGACTCACTTCCGTGTTGTAAACAGTATGTAGGTATACAGGTGATCACACACTGGATATTGTGGTGACTATGGCATAAACCAGTACAGGATATTAATACACACACATTGCTGACAACTCATACATATGATTATCTATTAACGTTGACTCGTCATGATCTGTATATGAACGAATCCAACAAACGATACACGACTTTGTTGTAGTCTTGGACAGAGAGTTGTAAATAACCTCAACAGGGAATACTTGATAAATAAGATGACCAGTTACACTATGTTCGTGTTTCCATACACATAGATACCGGAATAAACCGTTCAGCATTCAGTGTATAATGATATATGCTGTCTTACCACTGCGTCACTGCACAGGGAATACTTGATAAATAAGATGACCAGTTACACTATGTTCGTGTTTCCATACACATAGATACCGGAATAAACCGTTCAGCATTCAGTGTATAATGATATATACTGTCTTACCACAGCGTCACTTCACAGCCTCCACTTTCCGTGTGGGTGGGTGTAACGCACTGGCGGTGTATAGGAAAAGTGAATACCCATGACAGAATATCCCCCTACTGGACAAGGTTCCACTAACAAAATCAGAATCAGTGGACCAGCAGTGTTCGTAGAGAGCATTCAGTGCAGATTAACCAATCTGGCATTTGTGATTGGATGATTCTATGTAAATCGTTTATGTTTTTTTAATGTACTCCCATCCAGTAATTAAAACTAACCATGTTTGTTTCTATATTAAGTGCTGTCATTTTTAACATGATGACTTATGCTGAATGTGACCACAGATATTTTCAAGCAAGTGACATTTGGCGCGGAACTGGTGTGTAGTAAATTCTATAAATCCCTAGATACGTCTGACACAGTGAAATAGATCCATGTGTGTGTAGTTATGTTCTATAAATTCCTAGATACGTGTGGCTAAGTAAAATAGATCAATTAGTGTGCAGTGATGTTCTATAAATCTCTGGACACGTGTGGCCCAGTGAATTAAGTCCATGTGTGTGTGGTTATGTTGTATAAATGTATGGAGACGGCAGGCCCAGTGAAATAGATCTGTGGGTGTGTACTTACGTTCTAGGAATGATTGGACACGAGTGGCCAAGTGAAATCGATCCATGGGTACATATCAAATGGTCGGTTCTTAACCAGCCTCTTCTTCAAGTCTTCACAGATTCCTCCCCAGACCATGGTGCCTCTGCCTCCAAATGGCTGAACTTCTTGGACACAGTTCGGTGATGGGCGTTCACCTTGACGTCTGTACACACGCTGACCACCATAAGCTCGGAATAAGTAAAATCTGTTCTCATCAGAGAAAACGTTTCGTCCCTAGTCTTGAACCTGCAAACGCCGGCGTATACGTCATTCCATGGCCGGGTCGAGGTAACCGGTACCATATTCCTTCAATCTCCGTGACACTGTCTGTCGACTGACATGATGTACAATTGCCGTGGATGACGTTGTTGTGACGGGGATGAAGCGGGTTTGGATATGAAATCCACGGATGAAACGGTCTTCAATGGGCGATACCACCAGTTCTCTCTCTCTCTCTCTCTCTCTCTCTCTCTCTCTCTCTTTCTCTCTATCTCTCTCCCTCGCTCTCTTTTTAGCGTTAAGGGCAAAATGGTTGTGAAAATTCTATGAGAACATAGTAAACAACAAAAGTTTGATGCCTCTAGCTACCTCAATAAGAAAGCTGTATGCACTTTCGATTAAATAAGCTTGAACCTCATTCAAAGGTAGCACACAACCTTGCCCCTCAAATGCCCTCCCCCAAGGATAATATGTGTAGGATCAAAACCGCGCCCGAGGTTTTGTTTGGGAAGTATGCCCGCGGAGGAGGGAAAGGGGGGAGGGGCGATAGGCCCGACCCCCTTTTCCGAGGCCAAGGGCATACTTCCCAAACAAAACCGAGGGCAAGTTTTTGATCTCACTTATGAACTGATCAAATAATATGAATTAGAAATAATTTTACTAATTGGTATTAACATGACTTCATTGATATTAACTGTTGAGAGCTTAACTGCAATACGCGGGGAGTACATCCGCGCGCTGCACGAGACGCACGTGCTTCAGGCCCGTTGTAACAATGAGCGCACGTGGTTCAAGCCAGTCGAATGAATTCCACTGAAGAGGATGGACGCAGACAACGATATATTTCTGACGCAGTCAGTTTTTAAAGAATCGGCATCCTGTGCTGAAGAAGACAAGGAAAGTGATGACTTTAAATTCCGTTTAGGAGATCCACTCTCCGAGCGTGAAATAACCTTACAAGTTACCGTCAAAAGACTGTGCAAGACGTTCGGTATTGAGGGCATGAAGATAAACCATTCCTTGAGAGCCACGGCAGCCTCTCGACTGTATCAAGGTGACGTTGATGAACAAATGATTTGCGAAATTACCGGTAGGTTGATAAACATTTTAGTCCTGCAGTAATAAGAAATTTTTATTCAGCAAAAGTCATAACATATCAAAGAAATATTTTTTCCAAACCAGTAAGATGCTCTTTTTTATTTATGATATATATGGTAATATTGGTGTTTTTGGAATCTGTAATAGTTTTTAAGTGTATTTGTATGCTGTATGTGTAATACTTTCAGTAATCTGAACAATTTGTTTCAGGACATCGGAGCGACGCCGTTCAAAATTACAAGAGAACTTCTGACAACCAAAAGGCAACGGTCTCTGACATACTTAGTATTTTGAAAAAAATGAACTCGCCATCACGTGAAGAAGCTGATCCCAAAAGAGCAGATGACCAATGACCTGAAGACAAACTAAATCGAACTGTGACGCTCAATTTCAATTTCATCTAATATCAATAAATAGTTGAGCCATGTTCTGTTGTTTGTTTTTTCATGCAGAAAGGTAATTCAATACAGAGGGTATTTTTCGGGACAAAAACCAGGCTTTCAGTAGAAAATCTCCCGGGATTTCTTGCAGAAAGCCCGGGGCTTACCCTAGGAATGCCCGGGGCTTACCCTGGGAATGCCCGGTAAACTACCAGTAGAGGTTTAGTCGGTAAGAGAAGACCCTGGCGAGACAATAGAGTGACGTCACTAGAGGTTTATAAATACAAACCTTCCTCCTACCGTAGTAAACACAAGTGAACAAAGTACATTTTTGACTGTATGACATTCAGGCCCAATTTGACCTTCACTATCGTCTCAAAATGTTCAAGACGATTCCATCAGACGATTCAGATTGCATATTAACTACACATGTTGATCCAAAATGGAATTCAAGGTTGCAACACAAGTATAGCTTTCTAAATGAAAGTAGGTCACTGTGAACTGTCACCACTTGTCAAACGTGTTTTCAAATAACATAAGTACATGCATAACACTTAAATAAGTATCTGCATAAGTTAAATTGGCAAACACAGATTACGAATGCCCTTCACGGTGAACTTGACCTTGTATACGAGGGTCACTCACAACTATTTCGTCTCAAATGAACAAGCTTCGGGCTATGACCTTGAGGATGACCTTAACCCTTGACTTAACATATCAAGTGTACAAGAAACATACTCCCATATGATTGAGAAATGAAAGATATGATATATTTCAGATGTCCATGCACCCAGTTATCAAATTCAGGGAAAACTTACACGGGGCTGCTTAATCATACACCAGATAGTGTCTATTTGCTATATGTAAAGAATACTGAAAAAGGAAACAGTAAAATAAAATAACAACCTGTCTTAGCAAGATGTTAAACAACCACCTGACCATGTTTATTAATGAATCTTGGTTTCTATGATAAAATTAAAACACTAAAGTATTCAACTGAAACATCTCCATTGAAATATGAAGTCTGCAATTGTGGATATGGTAGCTTGGATTTGAGACATTCTCTTGACTCGACTAGGCCCTGAAACACGTTTAAATATCTCCCGCCATATTCCTAGTGGGGCACTGGTCCTCATTACCATAACGAAAGTAGACGACTGACTTCCGTGTTGTAAACAGTATGTAGGTATACAGGTAACACACTGGAGATTGTAGTGAAAATGGCATAAACCAGTACAGGATATTAATACACACACATTGCTGACAACTCATACACTTAATTATCGATTAACGTTGACTCGTCATGATCTGTATATGAACGAATACAACAAACGATACACGACTTTGTTGTGATCTTGGATAGAGAGTTATAAATATCCTCAACAGGGAATACTTGATAAATAAGATGACCAGTTACACTATGTTCGTGTTTCTATACACATCAATACCCAGATAAACCACTCAGCATTCAGTGTATAATGATATATACTGTCTTACCACAGCGTCACTGCACAGCCTCCTCTTACCCAATGGGTGTGTGTAATGCACTGGCGGTGTATAGGAAAAGTGAATACCCATGACAGAATATCCCCCTACTGGACAGTGGGTTCCACTAACAAAATCAGAATCACTCGTTCGACCAGCAGTGTTCGTAGAGTCGTATAGAGCATTCAGTGCAGATTTACCAATCTGTCATTTGTGATTGGATGATTCTGTGGAAATCTTTTATGGTTTTTTTTTTAATGTACTCCCATCCAGTAATTAAAACTAACCATGTTTGTTTCTATATTAAGTGCTGTCGTTTTTATCATGATGACTTATGCTGAATGTGACCACAGATAGTTTCAAGCAAGTGACATTTGGCGCGGAACTGGTGTGTAGTAATATTCTATAAATTCCTAGATACGTCTGACACAGTGAAATAGATCCATGTGTGTGTAGTTATGTGCTATAAATCTCTGGACACGTGTGGCTAAGTAAAATAGATCAATTAGTGTGCAGTGATGTTCTCTAAATATCTGGACACGTGTGGCCCAGTGAATTAAGTCCATGGGTGTGCAGTTATGTTGTATAAATGTATGGAGGCGGTAGGCCCAGTGAATAGATCTGTGGGTGTGTACTTACGTTCTAGAAATGGTTGGACACGAGTGGCCAAGTGAAATCGATTCTTGGGTACATATCAAATGGTCGGTTCTTAACCAGCCTCTTCTTCACGTCTTCACAGATTCCTCCCCAGACCATGGTGCCTCTGCCTCCAAATGGCTGAACTTCTTGGACACAGTTCGTTGACGGGCGTTCACCTTGACGTCTGTACACACGCTGACCACCATAAGCTCGGAATAAGTAAAACTTGTTCTCATCAGAGTAAAGTTTTCGCCCCTAGTCTTGAACCTGCAAACGCCGGTGTCAACGTCATTCCACGGTCGGGTCGAGATAATCGGATACCATGTCCCTTCAATCTCCGTGACACTGTCTGTCGACTGACATGATGTGCAATTGCCGTGGATGACGTTGTTGTGACGGGGATGAAGCGGTTTTGGAGATGAAGTCCACGGATGAAACGGTCTTCAATGGGCGACACCACCAGTTCTCTCTCTCTCTCTCTCTCTCTCTCTCTCTCTCTCTCTCTCTCTCTCTCTCTCTCTCTGGGCTACTGTTAAGCGAGGAATGTGTTGTGTGTTCATTTGTTACCTGTGGTCAGAACGTTGGCAGTCAGCAGCTAAATAAACAGTTTTTATTTTGGTTCTATTTGTGAGACATATTTTACCACGATATCATTCTCTATGTTTTACTTTATAAAGTAAATAGTCATTGTGTCCAATTACAGGTTATCTTTTTTGGGGGCGCCAGTTTATTAAATATTTTCAAATATTTGCATAATCCATAACAGCTCAAAACGTCACAGTTGGTCAAGATAAGAATATTGTTTCCCAAACAGCTGACAGTGTTTTTGTTTCCCTTGAGAACATCTCTAGCAATGAGTACCGTGGTATGCTGTAGTATATGTAGTCGTGCTTCAAGACCATGCTGCTCCTATATAGTTCTGAAGTAACATACTTCCTCTCAGTGAGAGTTGAGAGTTAACGCAGGCCTCGTGTAAATGCCCGGGCTTAAACAGGTCAATGAAAATAAGCACTGGGGCTGTACATAGTGCCAGATCCCTAATAGCCATCAGGCATGTCTGATTCGACTGACCTTTCCCCGGTATGAAGAAAAGAAGATAATAAATCTGTAACATCGTAACCCTGAAATAATAACACCAGGACTCTACCTCCAGGTCTAGGAGCTAGATGAAAAAAAACATGTTCCTGGTCACACAGAGAAAATGTGGTATTTGTGTTGTTATACACCAACCGTCACATTACTGACTTGATTTTTCCTCCTTTTGTCTTTTTAAATTATTGTCCTCAGCTTTATCTCTTTTATATATTGTATAAATACATGTCATCTTATTGTACAGATTTAGGACTGATTTGTTAAACGTTTTACATCTGAATTTTATCAGTGTTGTAATTTTAAAACAGCATTTTTAGTTGAAATTTACATCATTATAAATGTTTTATTGACAATAGATCACTTCTTGTATGTAGTGAGCTAATTGTACCTGGTAAAAATAGGAATAACTCTGGTTATTGAGGTGCCCCTGGTACAAAAAATCGGGGGAAATAATGATAATAATAAATCCAACAATTACAACAGAGCTCTCAGCTATTGTGGCTTGGATACCTAATAAGTTGCAAAAGTGGTCGTTGTGTTTGCTTGCAGAATTAACATGCTTGGTGTGACGAACAGTGACTGTCCGCAGCAAGATTGGCGGGCGTCCTTAACAGATGGAATGGACCGCCTCTTTGGTATAGTGGTAGAGCGTCTGCCCGAGGAGCGGGGGTTCGATCCCCTGCTGCATCATGTCAAAAGACGTTCAAAGATTATACTTGTTGTTACCCTGTCTGGCACTCGGCATTAAGGGGCTAAAACAAAGACTGGTCGGCTCGGCATCATGCTGTGTTTGAGTGAGGTATTCATGTTTATGTGGTACTCAATGGGCTAGCACAATAAAATCGGCATTAGTCTGAACTTGTAAAAGCAGCCACACTCACGTGCATTTTAGTGCAATAACCTTGAACACGACGTTAAACTCAATTTCACCTCAGCTCACCTCACCTCACCTTAAAGTATGGAAGTATGAATCATTATGGATGTCAATAGAAGCCGTTTCTAAAATTACCAGTAGTCCAAAAGAGAACCTGCAGAGCATTTTAAAAATATAGGCACGGATCAAATTTCAGGTCTATCGACATGTATTAATAACATGTATAAGTAAAACTAACAAATCTCGACCGCCCACGGGAAATTTAATGTATTCTTATTATATATAATTACTTTTCACAAAACACAATGATCGTTTCATTATGCAGTTACTTCGAGTTTGCTGTGTTTTACTTTTGTAATCTATGGACTTTTATTGATAACATGTACATATACAAAAAATGTATGACCGTCAACCACACGTCTTGGTAATCCTGATTACTCCCCTATGTTGATGTTTTTGAGATAAACATACACCCCTGTACACACACATACACCCCTGTACACACACATACACCCCTGTACACACAAATACACCCATGTACACAAACATACACACCTGTACACACACATACACCCCTGTACACCCCTGTACACATACATACACCCCTGTACACACACATACATCCCTGTACACACACATACACCCCTGTACACACACACACCTGTACACACACATACACCACTGTACACGCACACACACCCCTGTACACACACATACACCCTGTACACATACACCCCTGTACATAGATACACCCCTGTATACACACATACACCTCTGTACACACACATACACCCCCGTACACACATATACACCCCTGTACACACACATCCCTGTACACACACATACACCTCTGTACACACACATACACCCCTGTACACACACATACACCCCTGTACACACACATACACCTCCGTACACACACATACACCTCTGTACACACACATACACCCCTGTAC